TGTTGAAAAAGTTGTGAATTGATCCAAAATCAGGAAATTTGCTTTGTGATGTCTCTATATTTCTGGAATATATTGTTCTATGAAAGTGAATGTTGAGAGTGATAAATATTATATGTTATGATTTTGAATGTTTTTTAGATTTAATGCATTAAATTCTGATTTTTCCAGACATTATTTATAGTAATAATTGAATAAGCCATGTTGCATTTAGCACATGTCTGGGAAATTGATTTTTGTATATATTTTTGCACGTAAAAGCTGTGTCGTTTTGCTTTTCAGATGATGATAAATTACCTATATCATTACTTGTGCTGAGGACAGCCCAATTTTTTTTGGCCGGGGAGTGTGTGACCAAGTAATTACATATTTTAATTCATATATTTATTTAGGCTAATACCGTTCTCACTTTTGTTAACTTATTTCTTATTGGATTATTGAATTAAGTATGATTTAACCATTTTTTAAGGCTTTAATGTTGAACACTCTTTGTAATCTCATTCCTGACTGGCGTATTTTTAAAATCAACTCAATCCACTTGCGCAGTTACAGGTCTAGGTATAAAATACCTTCATGTTCGATTGAAATTACTTGTCCTGCCAGCCAGTTTTTCATTCAAGGTCACAACTTCTCGAGGCCATGCTGTCTGTAAAGGCATATGCCATTGCTGTTTATTGCTGTTAATAAAGATTTAAACGTGACCTGGTCTTGTTACTGCTTGGTTACATAACTTTTTCTAATTTTCACATGTAGTAAAGTTGTTCCACAAAGGTACAAAATGATACAAAAACTAAAAGTTTTGATCGTTTACTAATTAAGAGAGAAATAAGACTTTTTACTGTATTTTTGGCTCAAATCTGTACTTAGATTTGAGGCATTTAAAAGCCAAAATAGTTCTAGTATGTGTGAACAAGAGGCCCAGGGGCCACAGCGCTCACCTGAGCACATCGGCTAGGAAAAAGCACATATCAGATCAGAACTGAAAGTTAACTGAGGTGATGGTGGGGGAGGGGTGGGGTCGAACTTGAACCTCCCAAGGGGTTCATGATTTGAACTAGAATCTACACTACCTCAGGATGATTCCATATAAATATCACTAATCATGGCTTTGAAGTACTTAAAAAAAAAAGATTTTAAATATATTGGTTTCCCAATATATCCCTATGTAAAACTTGGGTCGGCCATTTTGGCCCCGCCCTAGCCCCGGGGGTCATGATTTGAACAAACTTGAATTTACACTATCTCAGGATGATTCCACATGAGTTTCATCTTTCATGTTCTAGTGGTTCTTGAGAAGAAGATTTTTAAAGATTTTTCTTATATATTCCTATGTAAAACTAGGGTCGGCCATTTTGGCCCCACCCTTGCCCCGGGGGTCATGATTTGAACAAACTTGAATCTATACTACCTGAGGATGATTCCACATGAGTTTCATCTTTCCTGGCCCAGTGGTTCTGGAGAAGATGATTTTTAAAGATTTTTCCTATATATTCCTATGTAAAACTTGGGTCGGCCATTTTGGCCCCGCCCTAGCCCCGGGGCTCATGATTTGAAAAAACTTGAATTTACACTACCTCAGGATGATTCCACATGAGTTTCATCTTTCCTGTTCTAGTGTTTCTTGAAAAGAAGATTTTTAAAGATTTTCTTATATATTCCTATGTAAAACTAGGGTCTGCTATTTTTGGCCCCACCCTTGCCCCGGGGGTCAAGATTTGAATAAAATTGAATCTATACTACCTGAGGATGATTCCACATGAGTTTCATCTTTCCTGGCCCAGTGGTTCTTGAGAAGATGATTTTTAAAGATTTTTCCTATATATTCCTATGTAAAAATTGGGTCGGCCATTTTGGCCCCACCCTTGCCTGGGGGTCATGATTTGAACAAACTTGAATTTACACTACCTCAGGATGATTCCACATGAGTTTTATCTTCCCTGGCCCAGTGGTTCTGGAGAAGAAGATTTTTTAAAAATGCCATTAATTTTTAACAAATTCATGATTATCTCCCCTTGGAAAAGGGCGTGGCCCTTCATTTGAACAAACTTGAATCCCCTTCACCCAAGGATACTTTTGTGCCAAGTTTGGTTGAAATTGGCCCAGTGGTTCTTGAGAAGAAGATGAAAATGTGAAAAGTTTACAACGACGACGACGACAACGACGACAACAACAACGACAACAACGACAACGACAGACAATGGACAGATTGTGATCAGAAAAGCTCACTTGAGCCTTTGGCTCAGGTGAGCTAAAAATCTTATTTATTTGATAAATTTTGAAACTTTAGTCCCTTATTATCAATTTCAATTTCATTTGAAAATTTCATCAAGTCTTTGATTGCATAAAAATTATAACTAAATTCAATGTTCTATAATAATTTTGAGATGCAAAAAGAAAATATTTTCATACACCACCATTCCAAAAATTTTGAACTTTTACTTTGGCCATATCTTTTGAACAGTAGATACCAGGACATTTATACTTGACATGTATATTGTTTGTGAAAAGACCTTTCATTGGATTTCAACAACTTTGACCTTTTGACCTTGACCTTAGAGATTTCTGTACTTACAAAAAAACTTTAACCTTGGCTATAACTTTTAAACTAAAAGTGCTAGGGCTTTCATACTTCACATATGTAATTCTTGTGAGAAGACGCTTCATTTGATACCAAGAATCTTGACCTTTTGACCTTGACCTTACAGTTTGACTTACTTTAAAAATACAACCTTGACCATAAATTTTGAAGGGTTAGTACTAGGGATTTCATACTTCACATATTCAATTCTTGTGACAAGACCTCTCATTTGATACCAAAAACCTTGACCTTTTGAACTTGACCTTGGAGTTAGAGCCACTTTTACACAAAAATTGCAAATTTTTACTTTGGTCATAATTTTTAAACTGTAGTTACTAGGAATTTCATTTTTCAAATATCACTTCTTTTTGGCAAGATCTTTCACCAGAAACCAATAATTTTGACCTTGGAGATTTCCGTACTTACGAAAAAACTTTAACCTTTGTCATAACTTTGAACGGTAAGTGCTAGGGCTTTCATACTTCAAATATGTAATCCTTGTGAGAAGACCTTTCATTGGATATCATCAACTTTGACCTTGACCTTGGAGTTTGACCTTCTTTTTACAAATTTTCACCTTGGCCATATCTATTGAACAGTAAGGGCCAGCGCTTTCATACTATATGTAATCTTTGAGAAAAGGCTTTTCATTAGAAACCAACAACGTTGACCCTTTGACCTTGACCCAGAGTTTGTCCTTCATTTAAAAATGTTTACCTTGGTCATAACCCTTGAACAGGTGGTGCTAGGGTTTTTTATTTCACATATGTATTTCTTCTGAAAAGGCCTTACTTAAGATACCAACATAATTGATCAGCATTAGAGAAAGCTTATTACCTTCGCTATTTTGCCATACGGGGGCATCGGTGTTTCACAAACACATCTTGTTCAAAAAAGTATCAATATTTTAAACTAAGGAATATTCTAGATCTATATGTTTTACATGAAAGTAGATCTGCTTTGTGATTTGGTACATGTAGGTGGGTTGTTGACACAGTGAGAAGGGCTCTTCCATTGAAACACGAGTGAGTTTCTTGCATATTTTCTTCCCTGATTACATATAGTAAACAATACTTAACATAGGTAATCAAAGAATACGAAGTTCACCTCAACGAATGTTGTCAGTATATTAATGCAATTCTCACATCATATTTTTTTAAGTTAGTGAGCAATCTGACAACAATATTCATGCAAATTCTGTTTAAGTTATTATTGGGAATCACCTGTTCCAAAAACTTTAACCTCAATAACCTGTTCACTAATCAAGAAAATGTCTCTCATTTCCTGCATTTGAGATAAGTCTGGAATAGTCCATCCTTAGATCATTCATGCAGTTTAAATCATAACAGGCCATATACTAGTAATCATAGAGCTACTCCAAAAGAATTGCCAAGGTTATTCATTTCGAAATTGTAGGTCAGATCAAGCATTTGAGGTAAGTCTGGTAGTGCCCATCCCTAGATGTATCACCCATGCAGGTTTGGTCCAGGTAAGGCTTAAAGTTACTATGGAATGGACCTGCTCCAAAAACTTGAACCTGGTCACTCATCTGGAAAATGTAGGTCAGATCGAGCATCCGAAGCAAGTCTGGTAGTGCCAATCCTTTGATGCATCATCCATGCAAGTTTGGTCCAGGTAGGGCTTATAGTTACTTGGGAATGGACTTGCTTCAAAAACTTTAACCTGGTCAATCATCTGGAAAATGTAGGTCAGATCCAGCACCAGAAGCAAGTTTGGTAGTGTCCATCCCTAGATGCATCATCCATGCAAGTTTGATCCAGGTAGAGTTTATAGTTACTTGGGAATGGACCTGCTCCAAAACTTTAACCTGGTCATTCCTCTGGAAAATGTAGGCCAGATCCAGTATTTAAAGCAAGTCTGGTAGTTTCCATCCATAGATGCATCATCCATGCAAGTTTGGTCCAGGTAGGGCTTATAGTTACTTGGGAGTGGACTTGTTCCTAAAATATTATCGGGGACACTGACGCTGTAGCATTAACTCATCTCGACTTTGTTGAGGTGAGCTAAAAATTCAATCAAAACACAGGTTAATCTTTTGGTATATAATAATTATAAATCCTTAAGTTAATCAGAGATGATCTGTTATGTACACGTTCTGCATATGAATGGAAGTAAATGATAAGAAATTCTATTTAAATATTAGCTGAAAATATCGCAATACACATTATAATACAGTTAAAAATATTGAAATATATTGCAATAAAAAAATCTCGGGCCAATACCCAGCCCTATATATGCATACACAGTGCATTTTGGGTACTCCTAAAAAAGCCTTGGTTGATGTCCCTATATATTCTCCTCATATACCTCGGATATAACATGTTTGTTATCTTTGTAGTAAATTTCAAAAATAATCTCATTAATAATTTCAGAACAAGAAAAAACAACACTGCAGAGAAAGAATAGTAATAACAAGATTTATTTTTTTGAAAAATGTAACAAACCCCCCTCCCCTCTTCCAAGTTCAAAGGTCAACCCTGGTTATCTGGGGCCCTTTCTTCCTTTCCTTTTTCTTCTTTTTTATTTTACTGTCTTTTTTAACCTCTTCATTTTTTTGCCTTTGCTGAAAAAAAGTAGAACATGTTAATGACGACAAACAAACAAAAAATTGCAAACTAACTTAATTAACTATGACTCTGACAAGGGTTTCAGTATACTAGTATGCCAGACATGTACCGGTATACTCTCAATTGTCTTGACTGGATTGTGGCACTGCAGATGTTGAGAAGATTTTTACAAATACATAATTCTATTCTTATGTAAGACTTTTCCCTCTATTGTACTGCCATGATTTAAGCATAGGGCCAAGACAGAGACAGAGATATGGTTTTATATGTCTCTGGGCCAAGATAAATAAATAGTGTGTTTTCTATTCCAACCTGAGAAAAAATAGGGTAGGTAGGTAGGGAAACATTTTATTTTACTTAACCATTTTAAAGGCAATCACTGTCAAAACATTTCTGCTTCATGTGCATAGGATATGCATTTTCTCAGATACAAAAGTGATTGAAGTTAAGATTTTTAATAGCAAAACCGGAATTATTTACTCCTGGAAAGATATTGGTGGATAAAATTTTTAGGGTCAGCTAATTTATTTTAGGAAACTGGAAACATGCAATTTTTTTTTATTTGGGCCCAGTTACATGAATTTATAAAGAATGGGGATGCTTCATATGTAAAGCACTTATCCTGATAAAAAAACATCTTTCTCAAAATTGTATAATAGTAAAATTTGACTCAGGGTATTTGACTTCAAGAAATTGATTCTATATACTACAAACAGATGCCTCCATTTGGTTCTTGAGTATACTTTTTCAATATCCTGTGGAAAACTCCCTACCCCCTCTCCCTTTTGACATGACTCAAACAAACTGGAATTTAGTACATGTATAAGAATATATACATGTAGAGAGCAATTAATAGCAAGCATGCATGGCCATTGACATGAATAAATTCTCTCGGTCAATCAAAAATGTTTGGTGAAAAAAAAACACTTACTTAAAGATGGGCAGAGATACATACACTACAACTTTGACCTGAAAAAGCTTTGAACCTTACAGTTTAAGTAACACCCCCTCCCCTGGCTAGGGATTTCAGAGTGTTTAGGCATTAATACTAGTATTGGTGTTCACAATTTGTTTAAACATTTACAGAGGACATTAACAGTAAATATTTACATACATTAAGCTATGTGCTGGTTTTACTGACTGTAACAATATCTGTATTATGAATCGGAATCTTTTCTGCATACAATATATAAATAGGATCACTGACGCTTCACAATCTTTACCTGTTTTAGTTGGTTCTCTATCGTGAAGGGATTCAAATAATTCTCCTCTTTTTCTATCAAGTTGACTTCTTGCGCCATCTGTAATGATAAGAATTATCGTAACACTGATACCCTAGTTCTATAAAGAAATCATAGTGTCTTCATCACAATCAAGGCAGCTGTCTAATTAACTCAAGTTTATAATTACTAAATCAACATATGTTTCATATTCTCTGTAAGCTATTGGTTAGCCTGCTGACACTAATTCTTACAAACATCATCAACAGATTTACACTGAGTGTGGTGTAGAAAGTCAAGTTCAGATAATAAAACAAAATGCAAATTAACCAAGTTCTCTATCATCAAAACATGGAGAAGGTGTTCTTGTTCTTTTCTACTAGTACCAGATGGGAAGAAAAATCTACAAGTATTTCATACAAAACACTTGCTTTGTTAATATGATAAGTGCAGTAAAATTTGTATTTCAACTTATATGATTTAAATTCTTTACTTATACATATCTCTAGAAGAGAATTGTATTAGGATTCATAGTGCTGTAGTTAAATAGAGGTTTGCAGTTTTAGAATATTTGTCATTGTAACAGGAAACAAACACATATAATATAAGGCCCATTTTTTGTGAAACCCACAAGCACAAAAGCATTATGAGTGATTAATCTTATAACCATTCATGAAATGCAAGTACCCCCAAAATAAATATTTGAAATTGATTTTTCATACATCACATGTAAATAGACATTATTTATACCAGATGTAGGAGTTTGCCGTCCGTCCCATCGAACATCCCCGACTCTTTACAGAACCAGTAACACCAACCAATCAGGAACTGCCAATCCTTGTTTGGATCATAAATAGCATGGACAATGTCGGGAAGTCTGAGAACTAGGTCACCAAACATGGCTGTATTTTCAAACACTTTAGAAAGTCCTGAAATAAAAGAAACAAAAATTCACTCATCTGAATAAAATACTATATGTGTACATAAATTGGCATATTTAAAATTTTGCGCAAACATATGGAAAATTTTAAGGTCAAATTCAGCATCTTATATACTGACACGCAAAAGAAACGCAACAAGCAGTAATTTACAAATGTTTGGTTTTTTATCTTACGATTTTCAAAAGCGAATAAAGTAAGGCTAAATTCACTTTTCAGAATATCAGAGATTTGATAAAAATGTTAAATGTTTATCTGTTTACTTTACTAAGTAAAATATGACTGTTAAAACACCCCCCTCCCAGCTATTCAAGTATAACGTGCAAGACTGTCCTAAGCAACAATTGCAGCTTAATTTCTACGATACAGTAGGTTCATTAATATCGAGATCTCAGCGAAGAAATTATTCCTTGATATTTTTAAATGCCCGTTTTTCAGATAATTAGGTCGAATTTTCTCTAACTTAGAGCAGTGTAGTCACCCTTGGACTTCTGGTACAAGGACTATCCTTAATGCATATGATACCTTAGACCCTGCTGAGGCGAAATGTAGTGAAATTTCGCATCAGCAGCTCCCCATCATCTTTAGATTGAAATTTTCCAGCTAGAGCAATGGAAATGTGTACATAAGCCATTTTCAAGTAGCCTTAGCATTGTTTCGGGAAACGAAAGTAGAGTTTATTTTTTGAAATATTGCTGCATTACTTATAATGAACAGTAAAAAACCCTTAAAACTCCATAATATTGCCAAATGTTTTGTTAAACATGCAATTTTTGATTTCTGTTAAGCAGACTAAAACTTGACTTCCGGTTATGGTATGAAAATCGTTCAACCTTTAATTTACTTATGTTTACCAAATTGAATATATTCATAATTTTAAGTTACAAAATTCTTTACTTTACATAATTATTTCCCCCTAAAATAGGGTGTTGCGATGTATTTACCAAATTTCACAAGGAAGACCCATTGTTTTTGAGGTCTTTAAACCTTAGATGACCTGAGTTTAACTGTTATTTTAAAGTTAATGACCTGGAACAAAAGCTTTCCCTTTTAAAAGTCGTACGTAAAAATTCAATATAACAAAACAAAAACTTTTTGTTGGGAAAAAACAACTTGGGGAAAAAAAATTTTTTTAAGGGGAAAGGGCCCGTTTCAAAATTATAAAAAATCCCTTTTTGACAAAAACCTTTCTTTGGGAACCCCAAAAACCCTTTACCCTTTGACCTTGAGGAAATTTTTCATGTATTTAAAATTTAACCTTGGCATAACCCTTTTTAAAGGGTAAGGGAGCGTTTATATTTACATTTCTTTTTGAAAAGGGCCCTTTTTTTTGGAACCCCAAAAATTTTACCCTTTGGAAAATTAACCCGGTTTGTTCCTAAAAGTTTTAAAAAATTTCCTTTTTTTATAATGGAAAAATTCCGGAAAATGAATATACCAGGTGTCATATTTACAGTGGACACCCAACATGGCATCCAAAATGACTGCCTAGCGGCAGAAAACGAACTTCAGAAAGTTGTAGGGGGAAATTGTTGTTACAATAATGATTACTGTTTATAACTAAGGTAAATGTAAACTAGGTTGACATATTTTATGTCTCAAGTTAAACTACAAGCTAATTTTTTTTTAATAAATGGAATCAGCTGATTGATCAAAGTAAGTTTTGCCATTTGTCAGAAAAAGATAAAGTGCCCCACCACAGCATGATATGCCCGTCAATATATTGTTCAATAATCATAAATTGGTAAAGGTGCAAGAAAATCGGTAACCTTGATTAACAGATTGACACAGTTTTCAATGATCTAATTTCCATTTCTTATCATGTTTAAAATATTGTACATATATACATCTATAAGTGGCTTACAGTGTAGGGATTAATTATAACAAATAATACATCCTATAATTCTCTAACTGGCTGTGTTAAAACTTAACAAATTTCCATCTGCAGCTTTAAATTGTTAATTGCATATTTTATGGAATAATGGAAATGTAACAGTCTAATAAAACAAGAGGCCCATGGGCCACATCACTCACCTGAGAATCTTTTGTCATATTGTTCTTTACCAGATTTCCCCCTTGTAATACATATTGTGTCATCGCCCTACCCCCTGGGGTCATGATTTACAACCCCAGGGTGATTCCACATCAGTTTCAGCTTTTTTGGCCCAGTGGTTCTTGAGGAGAAGATTTTCAAAGATTTTTCCTATATATTTCTATGTAAAACATTGATACCCCATTTGTGGCCCCGCCCTACCCCCGGGGGTCATGATTTGAACAATTTAGAATCTACACTACCCCAGGGTGCTTCCACATCAGTTTCAGCTTTTCTGGCCCAGTGGTTCTTGAGAAGAAAATTTTCAAAGATTTTTCCTATATATTTCTATGTAAAACTTTGATTCACCATTGTGGCCTCGCCCAACCCCCGGGGGTCATGATATGAACAATTTAGAATCTACACTACCCCACAATGCTTCCACATGAGTTTCAGCTTTTCTGGCCCAGTGGTTCTTGAAAAGAAGATTTTCAAAGATTTTTCCTATATATTCCTATGTAAAACTTTGACTCCCCATTGTGACTCCGCCCTACCCCCGGGGGTCATGATTTTTAACAATTTAGAATCTACACTACCCCTGGGTGCTTCCACATCAGTTTCAGCTTTTCTGGCTCAGTGGTTCTTGAGAAGAAGATATTTAAAGATTTTTCCGATATATTTCTATGTAAAAATTTGATTCCCCATTGTGGCCCCGCCCAACCCCCGGGGGTCATGATTTGAACAATTTAGAATCTACACTATCCCAGGGTGCCTCCACATAAGTTTTAGCCTTATTGGCTTAGTGGTTCTTGAGAAGAAGATTTTTTAATGACCCCACCCTATTTTTGTCTTTTCTTGATTATCTCGCCTTTTGAGGGGTGGCCCTTCATTTTAACAATTTAAATTCCCCTTCACCCAAGGATGCTTTGTACCAAGTTTGGTCAAAATTGGCCCAGTGGTTCTTGAGAAGAAGTCGAAAATGTGAAAAGTTTACAGACGGATGGACAGACAGACAGCTATACAGACAGACGGACGGACGATGGACAAAATGTGATCAGAAAAGCTCACTTGAGCCTTCGGCTCAGGTGAGCTAAAAATCAAAAATAAATTATTCTTTAGACTATAAAAGTCTAAGTGGGACATGACTGCAATTTGTTGCAAATATATAAACAAGAGGCCCATGGGCCACATCGCTCACCTGAGTAACGGGTGATGCAGATCTTTACCAGATTACCCCTCTTGCTATACCTATCATGCCCAACAACCCCCTTCCCTTTTTTATTTTAAAACTTTAGAATCTACACTTCTAAGTTTCAGCTTTCCTGGCCCAGTGATTCTTGAGAAGAAGATTTTTAAAGATTTGTTCCATATATTTCTATGTAAAACTTGGATTCCCTATTGTGGCCCCGCCCTAACCCCGGGGGTCATGATTTTAACAATTTATTATCTACACTACCCAAGGATACTCCCTCATAAGTTTAAGCTTTCCTGGCCCAGTGGTTTTTGAGAAGAAGATTTTTAAAAATTTGTTCTATATATTCCTATGTAAAACTTGGATTCCCTATCCAGTGTTTCCGTTAACGCATATTTCTGCGTATTTTAAGCATAAAAATTACTTTTGACCCCCCAAAACGTCACCTAGAGGGTCATCATGACGCAGAAAAAAATAAGGAAACAAGTTTTAAAAACCCAGTTCAATATTGTTGTTTTCATAGAAAAAGATATTTTATATGTTTAATTTACATTCTGGACAACTTGCTAGGAATTAATCATTGCTTTTAGTTTAATTTCAAAGTGGCAGTGATTGAAATCGGCATTTCCACGTCAACAATCTATTAAATATTCTTTTGTACGACCTATCTAATTCTTAACAAAACCGGAAGTGTAGATAAAAATGGCGCTTCAGCATTTTCAGCATGTTCAGTCTTACATCGGCATATTTATATCAGCTTGGCTTTGTCAAAAAGGCTAGTTAAGGTAATAAAAAGGTGAGGAAAGTTCAAATCTTTAATAAACAGTCTTGTAAAGCAATCATCCACTTTCAATTGTTATCTTTTGATTGAGGTATTCACGAAACCCTAATCAGTAATGGTGTAATCGGTAAAATGTAACTGTGTACTGGTAAAATAAAAGAAGTATACATGTATCAATTATATAATTATTTTACTTTCATTTTTTTGAATTTTTAAACCTCAAATATATGATCTTAGAAGGCAGAGCTAATGTTAGAACTGAAAGCAAAACCAAAATATATTTTGACCCTCAAAAAATCTTTTGGACCCCCTAAAGTTTATATCAAAGGGTCATAATGACCCTTGGTTTTAAAAATTAGCAGAAACACTGCTATCGTGGCCCCACCCTACCCCCGGGGGTCATGGTTTTAACAATTTAATATCTACACTTCCCAAGGATGCTTCCACATAAGTTTCAGCTTTCCTGGACCAGTAGTTCTTGAAAAGAAGATTTTTAAAGATTTGTTCTATATATTTCTATGTAAAACTTGGATTCCCTATTGTGGCCCCACCCTAGCCCCGGGGGTCATGATTTTAACAATTTAATATCTACACTACCCAAGGATGCTCCCTCATAAGTTTCAGCTTTCCTGGCCCAGTGGTTCTTGAGAAGAAGATTTTTAAAGATTTGTTCTATATATTCCTATGTAAAACTTGGATTCCCTATTTTGGCCCCGCCCTAGCCCTGGGGGGTCATGATTTTAACAATTTAATATCTACACTACCCAAGGATGCATCCACATAAGTTTCAGCTTTCCTGGACCAGTGGTTCTTGAGAAGAAGATTTTTTAGTGACCCCACCCCATTTTTGTCTTTTCTTGATTATCTCCCCTTGTAAGGGGACTTGGCCCTTCATTTTAACAATTTAAACTCCGTTCACCCAAGGATGCTTTGTACCAAGTTTGGTTAAAATTGGCCCATTGGTTCTTGAGAAGAAGTCGAAAATGTGAAAAGTTTACAGACGGACGGACAAACAGACGGAC